GAGGGGCACCCGAGAGGAAGAAGAAGAAATATCCAGGGCCTGAATAAACTGTTGAAAGAAGATTCTCGAGTTGCGTCTTCCTTGCGGGCAAGGGGTCGCGACACTACCCCTCAAGGGTAGGTGCAGACATTGAAAATAAAAATAACAATACACATGATATCCTTCCGTATCATTTATCTTAATGGTTTTTTGGAGCATAGAATACTTTTTAAAAGCCTTCATCATATGCACCTTGAGGAAGTGGTTCCAACAGCAGAAAGAGAGCGTGCATTTGAAAGCAGCCACTGTCTGGGGGCCTAGTGACAAGGTCTCCTCTGGGTGTCTGTGTCCAGTCATTAGATTAAGGCCCACCCTTGATTACATCTGCAAAGACCCTATTTCCAAATCAGGTCACATTCTCGGGTGCTACAGGTTGGCTTCAACATATCTCTGGGCAACACAATGCAATTCGCAGCAGTCCTTTAAGAATGAGCATCCTTGGCCGGGCCCAGTGACACACGACTGTAATCCCAGCAGCTTGAGAGTCTGAGGCAGGAGGATCACTAGTTCAAAGCCAGCCTCAGCAAAAGCAAGTTGCTAAACAACTCAGTGAGACCGTGACTCTAAATAAAATACAAAACAGGGCTGGGGGTGTGGCTCAGTGGTTGAGTGCCCCTGAGTTCAATCTCCAGTACCACCCCCCTGCCAAAAAAAACCCATAAGAATGAGCATCCAGATCTCTGCCCTGTCCCTGACTTCCTTTACCTTCTGTGTGCCTGTTCTTTTTCTGATCCTAATGGTTCTTCAACAGATGTCTGAGCCTGATGAGTGTCTTGAAGGCCTGTGGGGCTTCTTCCATCAGGTGGTAGCTACTGGATGTGGTTTTTACATAAGTCCATTTGTGTTGACAGAGATTTTCCTTAGTTGGTTTCTCTTACATATTAAAGGAAGAGGCTTGCATGTTTTTAAAAAACAAAACTTCAAGACACAAATGGGAAATCTGGGAAGGTTTGATTTGTGAGCAAATGTCCTCCATCCTGGGTGCTGCAGGGGGGTCAACCTGGCTGTCCCAGAAGCTTGTGGGAGCATGTGAGTCCTGGGGACAGGAGAGGAACTGATGAGGCTAAGAGATGCTCAGGTCTGGGGGAATTCTCGGTGCAGATGAAGGGAAGAGACATGAGCAGTGAACCTCCCTGCACTCCAGCCCATTGGTGTCTACTGTGGCCTACCCTATGGGAGTCAAAGAAAGGAAAAGTCTAGAAGTTGTTTCACTGACTGTTCAATGATCATATGCCTTATGGCCATGGTGGTCAAATCATTTATCATCCCAATAATGAAAAGAGTACAGTTAGAAATGACACCCAGACAATAGGCATAAACTCTTACCTATTCCAGGGAAATTGAGGTTCATCATTATTCCTAATCAGGGGAAGAAAGACTCCTATTAGGAGGTCTGGGGATTCTCAGACCTCATCACTATTACTGGCTTACTTGCATTTTATGGGTGTGGCTATAGACTGTGTTTCTTTCTTTGCTTTGGCTCAGCCATATTGGTAGGTTGCCTTTTGTAATTGTGCTGGAATTACCAGACATATTTCTCCACAGTATTACCAGCTTATCTTACTCATCAACTGTCATTTTTCTTTGTCCTAACATCTTATTGGTTTTGAAGATCATATTGCATGTATATCTTAAGCTTTTTGGATTGTTGATGTCTGAAAGAGTGGGTGAGTGAGGAGCGAATAGAAATTTGGGTAGATTGAAGGGTGAAGGTTGGAATATTAGGTATATGGATGAGTGGGTAGGTGTTAGGATGTGTGTGTGTGTGGTATGTTTGATAGAAGGGTGGGTGTTTGGATCAATGAGTGGGTGGTTAGGCATTTGGATGGATTTTTGGATGTGGGGGTGGGTGGATTTTTAGATTTAATAGGATGGGCATCTGGCTGAATATTTGGATGGATGCATGTATGACTGAATATTTGGATATATGAGCAGATGTGTGCCTGAATAAATGTATGGGTGCATAGATAACTGGATGAATGGAGAGGTGGTGAAATTTAGATGATATATTTTAGCATAAATAGATAAATGGAAGAATGGTTGGATGAGTATTTGTATGGATAGGTTATGGGGTAAGTGGATGGATAGTGGGTGGGTGGGTGGCTATATTGCTGACTGGTTGTTTGAGTAGATGTATATGCAACAGGCAGGTATATGTGTATGGATGGATGGACAGATTGTCGGAAGGACGAGGAACAAGAGGAAGTATAGATGGGTACATGGGTGTTTGGATGACTGGATAATATTTTCTCAGTATATGGCATAAATATGTGAAGGGTGAAATAAAATGTATAAAGCATTTTGCCAATGACTGGTATGTGATGGACATTCTAACTTATGAGAAAGTACGTAGGCTTTGTAGAATGAAAGGCCTTTGTTCCAATCCTTACCCCACCACTTACTATGTGACCTTGAGCAACTGCCTGACCTCTCTGTACTTTAGTTTGCATAACCATAATGTAGAGTTAAACTACCTATTCCAGAGGGTTGCTGTGAGAATTAGAAAGGCTGGTGGATATATCCAGAATAGGCCCTGGCTTTCTTCCTTCTGAGGTACAGAGAGAGTGAGAGCTAGAGAGAAAGACAGGGAGTGGACAGGGAGAATTCTTTTACCTAAGTATGAAATAAAAGTCTTTTCCCTTAGTCTGTTTGATCCAACCCATGTCACATATATTCCATGGGACCAACAGCAATTGCTAGTGGCACTTTCTGTTTGGATTAGATTGATCAGACTTGGAAGCCGTGGGTTCTACCCGGCATGGAGCCAGTCTGCAGAGGATGGGAGGGGCCTGAAGGCCAGCCTCTAGAGCTGGACCTGGCCACCTTCCCCTGAGTCACTTGATTAAGAGAGGGAACAGTTCTGGAGCTACTGAGTCTTGAGCAATGAGAGATGAGACTCATGGTGGCAGGTAATAGAAAGAACTGACCACTGGGCAACCTGTCACCATGTTAAGGGTATGGAAAAATCACATCTGGTAGCTGATATGAAGATAATGTGGAAGGAAAACAATATTCACTGTGATGAGGACCCCTGAGGCATGCGCTCGTTGCATTAAGTTGGGCTGTAATGCCTTTAGAGTGTATGCAGATCTAGCGAGGGTGGTGCTTAGATTGGTGTTTCTGGGTCTCTGGAGACAGGCTGGGGCTTGGAGACTGGGAAGCAATCAGTATCCCTCTATTTTATGAACTTACGCACCCTTTCCACAAACCTAAAGTCTCGCATCCTCCTTTAATGTCACTAAGCGTACTACACATAGAGATTAAAATCAGTTCAAATGAGTTCCGAATCGAGTCTGCTTCCAAGGCTGATTTGATGGCCCCTGCGGGCAGGGAGGTGAAGCCTCCTATCTCGGGGACCTTTGGAGACCTGCTCCGCTTGGGGGGCTGGCTGAGTGGACACCAGGTGAGTGACCTTGAGCCAAGTCTCGCCTCGGCTCTGCGGTCTCTTGCAGACTGCGCTCCGACTGGGAACTGGTCAGCTGGCCTGGTGGGTCCCCTGCGGGTGCTGTCCTCTGCACCAGTCGGCGGCATGGTGGCCGGGGCCTCTGGACAGCTCCCCAGGCGGTGGAGGAAGCATCCAGGTTGGCCTTCGGGCCCCTCTCTCCCCGCAGGCTGGCCCCACGCCGGACCGAACCCACGGCCTCGAAAACCCCGGTCCTGTGGACTGCGGCCTTCTGCCCAGCTGCCTCTGAGAGGCACTTCCGGTCCTACTGGGTGCCGGCACTTCCGGTTCCGGCTGGCAGCGGCACTTCCGCCCCCAGCCGCCCAGGCTCCAGAGCGGGGCCGTGTGGTTGAAACCCGCTGCACGCTACCAGCCACCCGTAGCGTGGTGTGCCCTGGTGAACTTGGACCAGGGTCGGTGGCGCCCACGTCGCTGGGAGAACGACGTGGGGTTTGGCCGCGGGACTTGGGTGTGGAAGCGGCTGTGGAAGGGCAACCAGGCGCCCCTGAGGTTTCCTGGCCTTCTCTCTGGGTCTCAGGGCTGATGGCCTTGGGCCCCTGAGGGGAAACGTTGAAAAAGACTTATGACAGCAAAAAGGGTGACCTTTACAAAGGCCATTGACCATTGTTTAGGAGACAGAAGCCTTTGTTACAACAAGGAAGCCAGGCACCGAGGCTGAGATGGAAGGAAACCCCGGGGGAGCGTTTTAGTCAGCATTTTCACCGCTATGACCGCAGACCCAACCAGCACAATCATAGAGAAGGGACAGATTGTTGGGGGGCTCCCACGGTTTCAGAGGTCTCAGCCTCTAGATGGCTGGACTCCCTGGGGCTACAGGTGACATAGAGCATCCAGGCAGAAGAGTGTGGCAGAGGGAAGCATCTCATGGTGACCAGAAAGAGAGCGAGTTGGAGCTCTGCATGCCAAATGTAAATCCATACCCCGTGGCCGGGGCCCCACCCATGCGCGCCTTCAGTTTACCCCAATAGGTGACTAGCTCATTGATTGGATCAAGGCTCTCGGTAACTCAAAGTCATTTCTCGCTGAACCTTCTTACATTGTCTTACCATTACAGGGAGTTAGTGGACTTTTGTTTCGATCCACAGATTGCACTTTTGGGTGATGGGCAAAGCTGATTTTACTGTGGTCTCCCCTGTCTCAAGAGAGCCAGTTTCAGAGATTGTAAACACAATCCTCATGCATTCAGCCTCCTATTCATTGAGAGCCTTTCAAGGGAGCCAGAACCAGGTGCAAATCTTGCGTGCTTCACTGTGCTAGGAATCGGAAGGCACCGCACACGTGCCTGGTGCATGGCCCTGCTCTGAAGACTCGTGGCCGGCCTTGTTGCAGAGCCAGGATCATCATTTGTATAGCCCTTATGTTTCCCATTCCCCAGGAAGTCCTTCAGTGAATACCTGTTGAGTCCTTGCCTAATCACTCAGATCCAGTGGCTTCAGCAGTGGGGGTGAGGGAACCCCCAGCTCTTCCTCTGACACCTCTTACATCCTTCATTTTACAGACATTGACGAGTGTGAGAATGACTACTACAATGGGGGCTGTGTCCACGAGTGCATCAACATTCCAGGAAACTACAGGTGTACCTGCTTTGATGGCTTCATGCTGGCACATGATGGACATAACTGCCTAGGTGAGTAATGTAGCCATGCCATGCTCTCTGGGCATGTCCTGCCTACTTGTTGGCTCCAGCTTACAGAGCTGGGGGCTGTGGGAAAGCTTGCCCTCCTTTGGTTCTTGTGTTGGTTTGCTCAGGCTGCCATGAAATACTGCAGACTGAATGGCTTAAAAAAAATAGAAATTTATTTTCCTCACAGTTCTGGGGGCTGGAAGTTCAAGGTCAAGGAATTAGCAGATTTGGTTTCTTGGAAGGGCTCCTCTCCTGGATTTGCAGATGGCCATCTTCTTGCTGTGTCTTCACATGGTCTTCCCCTTGTATATGCATGTGTTGGGTGTTTCTCTTTGTCCTGATCTTTTCTTAGGAGGACACTGTGTCATATTGGAGTAGGACCCTCACTAGCAATTCTATTTTTAAAAAATATTATTTATTTATTTATTTATTTATTTATTTTAGGTATAGATGGACACAACACAATGCCTTTATTTTTTTTTATGTGGTGCTGAGGATTGAACCTGGGTCCCGCCCGTGCTAGGTGAGCGCTCTAGCGCTGAACCACAATCCCACCCCAACAATTCTAGTTTCAATTTACTTACCTCTTTAAAGATCCTGTCACCAAAGATAGTCACATTTGGAGGTTGAGTATAGAGGTTGAATTCCTTCAACATAAGAATTTCAAAGGGACACGGTTCAGTCCACAATCTTATATTCCTATGGCTCAAATATATTTTCAAGCTAGTTGTATAAAATGTATAAGCATAGTCTTTTTGCTGAATAAAATTGGAAAAATATAGAAGATTAGGGAAAGAACTTGGAAAGCATCTTATCTTCACATGGTCTTCCCCTTGTATATGAATGTGTAGGGTATTGCATCAGTCTTCTCTTGTGTCCAGGTATGCACTACCCGCTGTGATGGTTGGATGATCCTCATGTTTTTGTCGCTTGCTTCTCCTTCTAATGTCATATGCACCTCGGGTATTTTCCTGTGGCCCATGTTGCCACCATCTCCTAGTTGCTCCATGGACTAAGTTGCCAACAACCTAGCTGAGTTTTGTGGGGCCACCGTAACAAAACTGGGTGCCATAAACAAGAGAGACTTATTCTTTTACTCTTCTGGAGGTTAGGAGTCTACAAACAATTGGCAGGGTTGGTTCTGTCTGAGGACTGCAAGTGAGGATCTGTTCTAGGCCTTTCTCCTAGTTTGAGGTATTTGTTGGCTTCTCCCTGTGTCTTCACATGTCAAATTTCTCATGTTTCTAAGGAAACCAGTGGTGTTGGATTAGGGCCCACTGTAACTATATCATGTTAACCTGATCATCTGCAAGATTGCATTTCAGAAAAGGTTACATTCACAGTACTGGGGTTTAGGACTTCAACGTGTTTTGAGGGGACAGCATTCAACCCATAATAGGTGTTCGCCATCTGTAACAAGAGAAATAGCCTCTCATGGTAGAACATGCATGGCTGTTGGAGCATGCTTGCCTGTCCCCAAGCCTGCTCCTGCCATGGCTGCTGAGTGACTAGGAGCACAGCAGCTAGAGACCAGATTAACGGTCTGGATTTGGCAGGAGCATGACCAGGGATGAGTTATTTACTTGTTGGAGGTCTTGGTTACTGCTCACAGCAGTAATGTCAAGACATCTCAGCAGCAGACTGGCCCAAGTGCCCTCGAGCTTGTGGCTGGTACTGTCGTCATGGTCTCTGAGCCTCATCTTCCCATTCTAAAATAGGATCTCTGTGCCACCCACACCGTTAGGCTGTGTGCAAGGATGGAATGACAGTGTGAATGAAGTGACCAGCACTTACTAGGTGCTGTTTTGATAGGCATTATTGTTACTCTGGAGGACTTGGCTACCTTTCTGTTTGCTTCTTTTGTTAGTTCTCACCATCAGAATCCAAAGGTGATTCTCTTTCCTGTCTTCCCATGTGTAGAATCCTTCACATGAGTGGAACTAAGGAACCAAAAAGTCACTTGGATTTTTGATGGCCTTTGGTGCAACACTTTCTAAAAACTGAGCAAACCTTCCATCCTGCCACCTAGTTTTGGGGCACATAGTATGGACAGTGTGACACCCTGAGCACTTGGGGACTCTGCCTCTTAGTGGCAAGTTAGCCTGAGTTTCCTGCCTGTTTTTGTTTAATTCATGTTGGGTCTCAGATGATGTTATGGGAAACAGATCTGTGAACATGTAATTATACCCAAATCAGTGCCAAAACAGAGGCCTGGACAGCAAGTTCCTGTGAAAAGTTTCTCCTGGATGAAGTGGGAATGGGGAAGGGAGCAGGGTTAAGGGGTGGGGGGCTTCAAAGAGGAGCTAGTTCGAAGTGGGATCTCCTGAGGCTGAGGAGAAGTTGGCTAGGTGGAGGGCCTAGCCTGCATTGAGGGCTGCAGGCAGTTCATCGAGGCTGGGCTCAGAGTATATGGGAGGAGTGCTGGATGGTGGGGCCACAGAGCCAGGCAACTGCATTATGGCACACACAGTTAAGTATTGTCATTTAATCCTCCCAAAATATAAATGCTCCACTGTCCCAGTTGTTTGCGTATCCTGTCAGTAACCAGTTAGTCAATTCAGGCAGAGCTTACAGACCCTGTGGGACAGCCCATTAGAAGCAGGCAATATCACTCAGTAGCCAAGAGAATAGACCTTGGGAACTGCCATTTTGGGACTAAATCCTGGCTTTCCAGTTTGAGTAGTGTGACCTTTGCCTGCCTTGTGCCTGTCCATATCTGTAAAAAGGAATGCATAAGCCCTATCGTGTTGGGTTCTTGTGAAGTTTCAGTGTGAGCACAGATGTAGAGCAGAGAGCAGAGTGCCTGACACGAGACCCAGAATGTCGCAGTCTTTCAAATGACACGTGTTGATGTGAGCTGATTTGACACCCTGTGGACCTCACAGGGGCCAGGGCCCTGTCTGCACTCTCTGGATTGTGTCTGACCCACGGGGCTCCCCTGCCGGCCCCAGCACTACGATCTGTGCAACACCACCTGCCCATAAATGCTCTGCTGTTCTCCATGTCAGGAGTACCCCGGCTCTCCGGGCCCAACCCTACAGACCCACTGTGGAGTCTGGTGGATCTTTGTTTCAACAGCATTATTTTCCCAGCAGATATATTTTTTTTTATTATTGGTTGTTCAAAACATTACAGAGCTCTTGACATATCATATTTCATACATTAGATTCAAGTGGGTTATGAACTCCCATTTTTACCCCAAATACAGATTGCAGAATCACATTGGTTACACATCCACATTTTTACATAATGCCATATTAGTGACTGTTGTATTCTGCTACCTTTCCTATCCTCAACTATCCCCCCTCCCCTCCCCTCCCATCTTCTCTCTCTTTCTACCCCATCTACTGTAATTCATTTCTCTCCTTGTTTATTTTCCCATTCCCCTCATAACCTCTTATATGTAATTTTGTATAACAATGAGGGTCTCCTTCCATTTCCATGCAATTTCCCTTTTCTCTCCCTTTCCCTCCCACCTCATGTCTCTGTTTAATGTTAATCTTATCCTCCTGCTCTTCCTCCCTGCTCTGTTCTTAGTTGCTCTCATTATATCAAAGAAGACATTTGGCATTTGTTTTTTAGGGATTGGCTAGCTTCACTTAGCATAATCTGCTCTAGTGCCATCCATTTTCCTGCAAATTCCATGATTTTGTCATTTTTTAGTGCTGTGTAATACTCCATGGTGTATAAATGCCACATTTTTTTTATCCATTCATCTATTGAAGGGCATCTGGGTTGGTTCCACAGTCTAGCTATTGTGAATTGTGCTGCTATGAACATCGATGTGGCAGTATCTCTGTAGTACGCTCTTTTAAGGTCTTCAGGGAATAGTCCGAGAAGGGCAATAGCTGGGTCAAATGGTGGTTCCATTACCAGCTTTCCCAGGAATCTCCATACTGCTTTCCAAATTGGCCGCACCAATTTGCAGTCCCACCAGCAATGTACAAGAGTACCCTTTTCCCCACATCCTCGCCAGCACTTCTTGTTGTTTGACTTCAGAATGGCTGCCAGTCTTACTGGAGTGAGATGGTAGCAGATATTTTTTTTACACTGATTAATTTAAAAGAACTGGGTAAGACTCCCACCTTCCTGCTGCCCCACACTACACCATTACGTTTGAGTGCAGAGTGCAGCTTCATACGGCTCAGATGTACACATGTGGCAACCAAGACAAGCAGCTCCCTGTGGCAGCCCTACCTTCAACTGAGGGAAGATCCTTCCCATAGACTTCTTTTTGTTTTTCTTCTCAAAAAGAAACTCCAGCTAGGAATTAAACCAGAGATACTAAGCTCTAGGGTATATAAAGAACTCAAAAAGCTAAACACCAAAAAAAAAAAAAAAAAAAAAAACCAAATAACCCAGATAATAAATGGGCCAAGGAACTGAACAGACACCTCTCAGAGGATGATATACAATCAGTCAACAAATATATGAAAATGTTCAACATCTCTAGCAATTAGAGAAATGCAAATCAAAACCACTCTATGATTTCATCTCACTCCAATCAGAATGGCAGCTGTTAAGAATACAAATAACAATAAGTGTTGGCGAGGATGTGGGGAGAAATGTATGAGTATACATTGCTGATGGGACTGAAAATTGGTACAACCAATATGGAAAGCAGTATGGAGAATCCTTGGAAAGCTGGGAATGGAACCACCATTTGACTTAGCTATCCCACTTCTTGGTCTAAACCCAAAGGACTTAAAAAACAGCATACTACAGGGACACAGCCACATCGATGTTTATAGCAGTGCAATTCACAATAAACTAAACTGTGGAACCAACCTAGATGCCCCTCAGTAGATTAATGAATAAGAAAACGTAATATATATACACAATGGAATATTACTCAGCAATAAAAGAGAATAAAATCCTGGCATTTGCAGCTAAATGGATGGAGTTGGAGAATATAATGCTAAGTGAAGTTAGCCAATCCCCAAAAAACAAATGTCGAAGGTTTTCTCTGATATAAAGAGGCTGACTCATAGTGGGGTTGGGAG